GAAGATCTATAAACTGAAGCTCACCTAAGTAGTTGTTTTTTCTATAATATGCTTTGTGGCAAGCTAAACTGACACCTGTACCACGCACTTGTAACTGTACTCAATTTTGAATCATTTTTTACTGACCTCCTTGAAAACTGAAGGTTTTCTGGTGATAACACCTGAAGATGTGAGCTGCTCCTCCCTCTTCTCCGAAATTACGGCAAGAAGGAAGGAAAACAAGTATCCTGTCTTTGGGATCAATACTATTTCTTATAAAACACAAAAGGCTGTTTTGGGATGTTTATGATGACGTTTTCTTTTTTTTTAACTCAAAATTGCAAGTCATTTTAATATATATTTAAACTTTATTTAATCAGGTAATCTCATTGAGATCAAGATGTCTTTTGCGAGATAACTGAGTACAGAAGAGAGAAAGAAAAGCGCCAGACATAACAAAAAGACGAATACATTCAGGACTTCATTGCTACAAGAACTATTCAGTTCATTTTGTAAAAACTGAATTGAACTCTAACATCGTTTTCCACAAAGGACAACATTTAGTAAAATTAACGCCAGGCAGGTTGTTGATATTGGAAAATATTTATATATATAAATAAACACCTCTAATGATTTCTAATAAATGTCTAAGCCGTTATGACATTAGAGCAGGTTTGCTGGATTTGTGACTTTTAAGAAACGCTCGTCTAAGGATCAAAACTGTTTTTTGTTTTCTATAATGACAGTGATTCTGGTGAAATCCAACACCATGACAAATACCATGATATGGAGTGTACAACAATACAGCAAGTAATGTAATTTACGTTAGCTGAGCTCTGGCTACTGGAACGTCAATAGTGTTGTGTGGTGGGGTGCAGGCCACGTTGTTTGGCTACAAACACCTGATTTTTATTCAGCGCACACACAACACACAGCTAGCAGACCGTGAGGAGATATTCACGGAATTTGACAAAAAGATGTGCATTGGTTTAGATTTGCTTTAAGGTGAACTAATGCATTTATGAATCAACTTTAAGTGTATATTTCTCTCCGATGGCTGTGTGGTTATTCCCTCTGGACGTAAACCGACAGAAACACACAATGTTTTAGGGTCAGCTGAAAGAAAATATAATGCTTTTAAAGAATGTGACCAGTGAATCCCTCATTATTTATTAACAATGAAAGCCACAAATTATTAAATCATAAACAACGGAAACCAAATCTGTGATGTTTTTTTAAATGACCTTGAAATCAAAATCTCCTCATGGTTGTTAAATAGTGATGCTGAACACACGCACACACACACACACACACACACACACAGAAACCCCCCACATGTTTAATTCAGTGTGCTGCACAGAATTGATCTGTGCATTGATCGCAAGTTTAGTGAAGGTAGCCTACTGATCTATTGACCCTTGAAGCTTTTGTTTTGAAAATTCACTGCAGGCAAGCTCGAACTAAATCACTGTAAACCTGTTAATACACCCGCAGGGACCTTCAGTGTTTCTGTACAGTAAAATGAATGATATGTTCTTCTTTTGCTGTAATCTATGTAATAATATTAAATAAATTACCAGAGTTGTGTTTGGGGAGGGAACAGCTGGCAAACGTTTGGATAGTATGAGTGCCAACTCCTCTGGCTATTTCTGCGCAGACCAACATGTAGCTTCTCCATCTGCGGTTCCTCCACTGGGTTTCTGCTGAACTCGGGTCAGCACCGATCTTTCCGCTGAAACCTACAGACTTGGAATCAAATATTCATCTGCAGGAAAATGGTAGCTGGCATGAGTCTAAGGTTCAATACAAAACAGCAAATCTGAGGAGCATGACTTTATCTAGTAATCGATGCAGCGGAGACTGAGGTCACCCACTTTTAGTGATCTTTTTATGTGCTCACATGATGTAGATTGTTCATCAGCATCTACAGTATCTCACAAGAACCCCTCACATTTTTAAAAAAGGATTTGATTATATCTTTTCAGGTGACAACACTGAAGAAATTGACATTTTCACTTAGGGGTGTACTCACTTTTGTTGCCAGCAGTTAGACGTTAAGGGCAGTGTGATGTGTTAGTTTGAGGGGGCAGCAAATTTACACTGTTATACAAACTGTACACTCACTACTTTACATGGTACAAGTGCCATTTCCTCAGTGTTGTCACATGAAAAGATATTATCAAATATTTACAACGATGTGAGGGGTCTACTCACTTTTGTGAGATACTATATTTCAGAAGGTTCATTGTCTACTATATTTAAATCTTCTGATTTCCATGCAAGTACTCAGGGTAAAACACCTCTAAAATAGAGACCATGGGACACAAACTGCCCACCATGATGACATTTTTTGGGCAGGTTAACAGGCACTCAGGGCACAGCAGCACTGAGGACACTTTGGGGGGATGTGGAGGTTTTTGCAGCTTGCTACTATATATAATTTTCAATTTTAGTGAAAATAATGTGTGGAAATGGTCATCCAGGATAATAATCACTGACCACATCAACTTAACATATATACATTTATTTGCATCCCTGCGTGGATTTCTGTAACATGTACATTCAATTTTCTTGAGGAATTTGTTTAAAAATGATCAAATAATACACTGAAAGTCTACTGGTTGGTCATTCCTATCCCCCCAAAAATATGTGCAAGTACTGTAGCTACTTATGACCACAGTAATCCTCGCTACGTCCTTATTTATTCAAGAGTAAGAGCAACTCCGGGACACATTATGCTTTTAAATAAAGAATGAATTTGCATAAACATGAATAAATTAAATGCACCAATTTAATCCGATTTCATGTTAGCCAGAGAGGAATCTTTGGTTATAATAGGGCATCATCATAGAGGGTCAGTACTGATGGATAAGGTACATCAGTTAAAATACAATACAAAAGAAAATACTGTGCATGATTATATATAATGATAGAGTTAGCCTGGTGGTAATTAAAACTTCTCAAGACCAACACATATCCATTCAGACATTAATAGATAAACCACAAAATATTAAACAACAGACAGAAAGGACATAAATAATTATTCTTGCTTTAACAAGAAATGTGTAACACAAATCAGAAAACATAATAGGTGAAGGACGAAGCTCAGTGACAGACATCCCATTCACTCTAAATATTTTAAAGCCAGCTACCATGTGCATTGAAATCACAGCATTTAAAGGGCTGAAACACTGACAGGCGCTGACATGAAAAACTTTGCTTTATCTACTGCCTGCTGACCTGTGAAGTCTGTTATTTGATCTGTTTTCCACTGACATGCCTGTGTGCATGTTTCAAAACCGATGGGCCTGCTGCTGCTAAATTGTGAGCACATTTCTAGGCAGGATTTTATATTTCTCCTGTTATTTATGGTCATGTCATTTGAACCAAAAAAGATATGAACAAGATATAAAATTGTAAAATGTAGCTAACATTGCTTCTGCAGGGTTAAGATGGTGCTGCCTGTAGCTTTTGCATCAGGACTACCAATTCCCTGCAGAGGAATGTAAGCAGGGGCTTGAGGAAGAGTGCCGTAGAGATTTGCATATTATATTTTCTCTCTTCTTGTTTAAGTCGGCAGTGAGTGATGGAGGCAAAAGGCCTGAGCCAAGAAAAGGGAACAAGCATCTGCTAATTTCCCTGGCAAAAATTCATAATTAACACGTTTTGATGTACAGGCTGTGGTTGTCAAGGTAACTGATGACACCACATTATCACTTGGCGCTTCTGCAACCTCCGTCCTCCCTCTTTCCTCCCATTCATCAAGCAGCCATTGAAACAGCTCCAAGCAAGGAGGAAGGTGGAGGGCAACCGCACCTAAACTCATATTAAACTATTTATTCACAGACGAGAGTTCACACACCTTTATTAGTCTGGTAATAATGTTGTAAAGGTAATTACTATAATAGATGATTATACATTACAATGGAGAGTCATGTGCATTGGGAAATAAATCATGGCTGCATATTTTATTGTCTTTTAAAACGTCAATTCAACCAAATTATTAAAATAGGCCTACATATTTTCTCACATTCCTCTACATGCAGATACTTGTGGGATAGACTACATTAGAGATGAATATAATTTCATATGTGGTGCTCACAGCAATAAAGATATTTGACCAGCAACATTTAGCCTAATCCACAGAACCCACTTTTCAATGGGACTATTTCTTAAGTAGAAAGTGGGCTTATCCAGTGTAACCAGGACATTATTTCTGTAAAGACATGTATGAATATAAGAGGATCAACCAACCCTTTAAGTTGATCGTTTTTTGGCAAATGGACATTTTTGAAATGAAACTACAATCTGACAGTATATATAAATAGAAGCTTTTTTTGAATTACAACTTTTTATTTTGTAATACGCAAATTAGATATGTCCTTATTAAATATGCACTGATTTGCATATGATACAAATCCATACTGCAGTACATTGATACGAGTCAGATGGATTTTTTTGGTTTTAATGGCCAGACATTTACAAAAGGCTTTATTTAACTAATTTTTAAAATATATTTTTATATGATCTAGGAAACAGTGTGTAAAATTATGATGATCTAACTGACCTGGTGTCCAGGAAAAACATTTGCTAATGAATTAGAAAATGAACAAATCTCTTACTAGCCAACATTGTGCTCTAGAAAACAAACTTTCAAATGATATATGATTCAACATGGAGAGTTTTAAAAAGATCAGTTGAACTTTTACATGGACAGTGCTAACAGAGATGAAATTTACTCTATCTGTCATTAACATCCTATAGACTATTGAACTATTATTATTATTGAAATCTTGAAATTACAGTATGGCGCATTACTATTCACATTAACTCAGGTTAATTGACGGCTCAGTAAGAAGTCATGTATCGGGAATTTACCAACGTTTTCGAACGAGACTCAGCCAATCAGAGGAGGTAATTAGAACAATCCGCTCCAGGATTGGTTGGTCATTTCCAGTACTTGAGATATGCAAACGTGGGCAAGAGCCATCTAGTCCAATCAATGACTTGGCCACGGAGCGCAGCGGGCTCAGTGAGAGCAGCTTCCGTCAGAGAGAGCAGCATCAGCGGCGTATGTGGAGCCTCTGAGCACCACAGGGAGACGACTACACTCAAATAACGTGACTATGTACCCGAAAGATATTTTTTTTAAACGCGTCCTCTCACTGATTTTATACCCTTTTATTGCGTTATTATAATTATCCTTTTTTTTTTTGTACTGGAGGGGAGCAGCAAAGCGAGGCTTCACTGCGGCTTCATCAATCATCAATTTCCTCTTCCAGCCCTGGGAATTACAATGAAAAATGTAGGTGACACATTTTCTCTAACAATCCAGGAGTCACAATAGCATCCAAGGTGAAGACGGCAAAGAAGAAAGCAGGTAAAACAGAACAATGTCTTTCTCAGCTTCTGCTTGTTTTATAGACGTAAAAAAAGAAGAAGAATTGAAGTGGCACATCATGTTTTTAACTTCAAAGCTTGCCTCATTTGGCTTAGAGTAAAAAAAGGTCTGTGAGTGCCGTGGTTTAACGTTACATCAGCCGAGACTAAGCTTTTTTGTGTCATTCCTCACAGATAATGTTAACTTAAAGGCGTCATTGATGCCACATTTTCACTGCTAGGGCGCATGTGTGGCACTGCAATGTTTGCGCTTTATTGTTAAGCCTCCATTGGTTTATTGGGGGGGGGGGGGGGGGGGGGGGGGCTATTATATCCACCGCATTTTAGTTACATTTTCTTCTCCGTTTCTTCAAAGGGGGAAAATGGTGACGGGTGCCGCATCTATAGGATCAGCATCCTCTCTGTGGAGCCCCTGCGTAAAAGAAAAGGTATTTTGCTGTCTGCATTTTGTCGTTTGCTGTGGTGCTGCAGTGTGTTAGACCAACAGGCAAATGGTTTTATCATGAGGCTGTTGTCTCATCTGCTTCCATGCATACATACAATACAGTAACGCCTCGGCAGAATGCAACAAAACCCTCCCATTTCTATGTCTCACTGTTTATGCCCTGAATGCATCTGCAGCAGCATCACCGTTACATTCAAAAAAGGAATAACTGTGTGTTTTTGTATGCATGTGTGTGAGTTTGTGAATGTGTGCAAGTCATGAAAAAAAAAAAAACAGATCACACACATGCACAACCCCCCCAACACACACACACACACACACACACACACACACACACACACACTCACAGGAGTGCAGTGACTAGCTCCAGCATTGCCTCATGAATGCTAATGCATCATGCTAATGCAGAAACACTGCAAACTAACTGCTCCGCTCTGCACTGCTGCCTCCTGGGGCTCACAGGTGCTGGCTATCCTTACCTAACTTAACTGTGTGTATGTGCGTGCGTTTGCATGTGTGTAGGTGTCTGTGTAGGTGCCTGTTTGTGGATGATATCACCTTGCATATGGTTGCAGGGCCATGTGTGGTTGAGGATGTGTTTTAACCAGGATTTTTAGAGCAGCACACCTACACCTGCCTCACTGGGTTACTAAAGTGAGGGTACATTAGAGAAGTGCTTCCCATTCTCCATAATTGACACACTTAGAAGCAACCTGTTTGGCCACATAACAATTCTGGTGTGATACTTGCAGCAAAGTGACTAATTGAAATTTAAAATCCTGCCTGAAACACTTTAAATCTGTGTTTCTAGGATCTGTAATATTTACTTGCTGTATTGTAAATAAACATGGATAATGTAAAATCTTCAAATCATTGAAGTTTGGTACAAGGCTGTTTTTTTTTTGTCATTATGCAACAGAAGGTTGTATAACGAAACAAAAGTTTGTAGTCCCTTCATGCTACACACACAGAACTTAACAGATAATTAAATGTGTTGTAAAATAGCAGGGAATGTTTTAGCAATCGAAGGAGGACTGCAGTGAATTTTCATTTTCTGTATTGATTAATCTCACATTATTTTTTCGACTGATTGCTTAGTTAGTAAAATGGCTGTCACAATTTCGCAGATCCTGTGGTGATACTGAAATTAGTGAATGTTTAGCATTTTTGCTTAATAAGTGACTTAAATGATTAATAGATAATCACAATAAGTTTCCCTTCAAACGACTACTTGCTGATTAACTGTTTCCACACTATAAACATGACGTCTTCACATCACATCCAGATATTTCTAGCGGCTTCACTGTGGTTTGGTGACAGAAAATGTTTTCAGAATAGGACTGTAACTGATTGTTGTCACCATAAATTAATCTTTTGATTATTTTTGGAATTAATTCAATTATATAGTCTATACAATGTCAGAAATGGTAAAAATTGCCCATCTTAATTTCCCAAAGCCCACTGTATTGTCCACTAACAGTCCAAATCTCAAAGATATTACATTTAAGAACAGAGTAGAGATACAAGGAATACTTATTTTAATTATTGATTAATTTAGAAATTATGTTGTTTATTAATTGTTCAGTCTATAAGACAAATAAATGGCCATCACAATTTCCCAGAGCTTAAGATAATGTAACCCAATGATTTTCTGTGATGTAAAACAGAGAAAAGTGGCAGATCCTCACATTTGAAAGGCTGAAATTAATTAATAATTTGCACTCTGTCTTGATAAATGACTTAATCGATTGTCAAGATTGTTGTGGATTGATTTCAACTATAAGATTTCTATGTCAGTAACTTAAAATCAGACAGCTTCTTCTAAGAGCAGCTCTTTCACTCCAACATTCAACCGTAAAACCTTCTCTTTAAATCCTTTGCAGAAGAGGAAGCGAGAGCTCGATAGACCAGACTGCAGTGCAGCCACAGGGCATGTGTTTAACTATGGGGCATAGCTGCAATTATAGATGCGCATACCCCTACAGCTGAATGATCACACTTTCAAGCTGTTTGTATGCCTATGTACGCCTACCTTTTGAGTGAAATCAACAAGTTCACACCCACTCTCTGGGGGCTGTTGAAAGGCATTCTGGGAGACGCAGGGAATCACTGACTGAAGTGGACGCAGACGAGAAAGTAGGTACACCAAGTTGATGACAAAAGCATTGCACATCACAGAAAGATGATATAACAGTGTCAGAGAATCGGGGGAGGGTTGTTCCTTAAAATGTCAGCAATATACCCGGCACTCTGGTGTTCGGTTTGGGCGATATTTACCTCAGTTGCACAGTTTAGTGTCTTTAAAAGGTGTAGTTGATAATTAGAAGTTACCGTCCCTTGTAGCCTGATGGGTGACTTTAGCTCACGTATAGTTGCTGGGCCCGGTGTGCTCATTCCCGATGCGGTGGAGGAGGCGGATCGTCTGCAAGCTTCACAATCCATCGTGGTTGTTTCATGAGTCAGCTGTGATTAATCTTATAGGTTGTGGTCAGGCTTTCAGTGTACCCGAGAGAACGAGCTAGAAATGGGCTGCGCACAGACACAAACGGCCTTGACTTCACCTCCGGATGTTGGGGGATTTCACCAGCGGCTTGTTGAGAGTCTCAGGTGTTGACGTCATCACCGGGGACGTGGGTACAAATGGCTGTACTGATTTTATTCTCGGCACACAACGACCTTCAGGTACAAACACTATTGTATTTGTACTGTACGGTGACTCCTCTTCCTGGTACTCCTCCACTGCATCGTTGATGTGAGAGAGAAATGTCTGGTTACAGGGACGGAAAAAGGCTTTTTAGATGATGCTGTCTAAAAAGTGCAGCACACTTATGCTCAACTGCTTTTAAAAAGTGACTCGATGTGAGTGCCATTAGACATTTTTAAAATGTTAAATGTCTAATTTTGGAATGAACCATTTGTCGTCTTGCTGCAGACGTTTTAATTAAAAGTTTCACTCATGGTGACATGTTGTCGACCTTGTGGGGCTCAATGCTGGCTGTTCCCATGTCAGCTGGGAATGCGGACTGTTATACTGGAGCAGATTCAGAGCATGCATGGCAGGACTGGAAGCTTTTTAGAGTCAATCACATGCCTTATGCAAAGACAAAGTAGAACATAGCCTATTTTTCACACTTTTGGTGGTTTTGACTTCTGGGAATTTAAATGACTCTCTAGATGTGTTTTGTATTTTTTGGATGTCCTCACTACTGAATGAAAAAACAAGCTTTTATATGCAAATCTCTCACAGCTTCAGGATATGTGGACTAATATTGTTTTAATCTGGCACATTGCTGTTGTGCCAATAGTTTGTATAATTTTCTGTGAATGAAAGAAACTATCCAATATAATAAGTCACGATAAGCAGGTAGTGTTGTGACAGTAGGGCTGGACAGTAAACTAAGTGACATTAGATGTAGCTAGATGTATCTGTAATCACTATATAATTAAACTTAGAATGGTAACAACTACAGATATTCCAATCAAGTATTTTGACTCCAAAGACATTCAAAATGGAGATAAGAGTGAAATGAGAAGCTGCTACCTGACTGTTTTGTACACTGATCTTTGCTAATATGAAATAGGGAGGAGAGATAACAGATTTTTTAGCATCTGAGTTTTGTGAATTTGTGAATTTTGCCAACCTTAATGTCCTTAACTCAAATGTCAGTCTCACCAGTGCAACCAAATACTTTTTCACATTCACACACTTAATTTTCATTCATATATGCTGTGACATGCTGCACAGTTGTTGAGCAGGCTGAGGTTGACAAAACACAGTAGAGTTCAGTAAAGAAAGCATTGGATGTTGGTTGGCTTTTTTTTATACCCAAAATGACTATATATGAGAGCGGTGATGGTCCAGTGGATAAGACACAGACCTAATTTTAAATGAATAAATGTATATACTGTGAGATAATATGAAAATTTTGCCATACCTATTATACCGTGTGATCTATCGCTTTATTACCTCTGGGTGGCTTTAAGGCAATACTGGATTTTTAACCTAAATCTGTATGGTTTTAATTCATTGCATCAGTGAATACATACTATCTGTCTATTTCATTGATCACAATATCTATTGATGTTGCGACATGAAATTACAGTAACATAGGATTGACTGAACCAATCTGCCGTAGAGGTTTAAACTGCTCATTAATTAGGGCAAACAAATCAGAAATGAGCAGACAGGGGGAAGAAAATCTGATCCCCCCGTGTATTTAAAAACATGTTGTCATTATGTTTATTGTTATCATGGTAATTCTGTCACTTTACTGTGATAAATATTATAGGTCACATTGCCCAGCTGGTTTTGACAGTATTTATTTTGCTGCTCCACCCTGTAGTACTCCTGCATCCTACAGAAGAACTGTGATATAAGTAGAAATTTAGGTCGGTAATAAATGCATACGGATAAATCAATTGTGTGAATCTAATATAATTCAACTTAACAAGCATTATCTACACCCACTTATCCATGCAGGGTCGCAGGGGGCAATGGCTCAGCTGACATTGGGCGAGAGGCGGGGTACACCCTGAATAGAAATGAACCACTCACACTCACTTCATAGAAGCCGCTGCTCTCAGGGAGAACATGCAAACTCCACACAGAAAGTCTGGTACAACCAAAGTTCGAACCCCAGACGTTGTTGCGGTGAGGTGACAGTGCTAACCACTACACCACCGTGATGCCCTACATTAAACATTTAACCACAAATACAGCCAACCAATCAGCCCACAGACCACAAGTCCACTGCTCATTCAGTAATTCATTAGGACAAACAAATCAAAACTGAGCAGACATAAAGGACTTCTCTGATATATTAAATAATAATTGTGTTTATTGTGATACACTATAGATTTGAGGTCATATTACCCATTTCTATTTGACAGTAAAATTATTTTGGTTGATCTTAAATTTCTCCCACATGAAAAGCGTTTAAAAAGACCAATTTTTTAGCGAGCAGCAAAAACATTATTTGTATT